AAGCGCAGTATATACGATCGCTTGCGGGTCCTGGTAGTGTGCCATTTGCTCTTCCAAGAGTGGTAAGGAGTAAATCTCGGGCACATCCGTGGCCCTACACCACATCCTGATAGTGAAGATGACCATATTGTTAGATGGGTATCAAGATGCAAAGTGAGGCAGCAGGTGGTGGTGGTGATAGTGATGGTTGGCACGGTCATGTGACTCCAGCAGCAGGACACGCTACTACCCGCGCTGCTGGACTCTGACAAATACAAAGCCTCCCCCGACCCCACACTCCCACAACAACCACAACCACAACCTGCACAACCACAACCACAACCTGCACAACCACAACCACATTACAATATCCAGAATGCACCAGCTGACCGCATCTGGGATTGGCAGCAAGATGACGAGTTTGTTTCCAATCCCCGTGACTTTGATGGAGGACAAAATGGAATACGGCCATCATGTACACTTGGGAACAATCCCACTGAACTGGAATGCTTTCAGTTATTCTTCGATGAACCCTGATGGACATTTTTGTCAGGGAAAGCAATACTACTATGAGAAACACCATGGCAAACACTATTCTGTTGCCAAGATCACGCCTACACCAGTGGAAGGACACAACTGTGGCAGAGATGTATCTGTTCTTTGCCACAATAATGCTTATGCCCATGTGTGTAAGCATATTTGTCAACACATACTGGGCGACAGACCGCCTGATTTCAACCCTGCTTTCAGTGACTTTTATACCATGAATAGATTTGTGTTATGTTGCGTTGTTACGCTTTTCAGACAAAACCAGGCCTGACAAAAGAGACGGGTTATATAAGATCAGAAATGTGTTTATGTAAACCCGAAACAAAGTGCTGTATGTATTTTTATCCTTCAGGAAGCTTGTTATTGATGAGTCTTTTATTTTGTTCAAAGGAAGATTCATTTCAAGCAGTATTATACCAAGCAAGAGGAAAACACTTTGGTATTAAAGTTACTTGTTCTGTGTGATTGCAAAACTGGTCTTGGTTTTTTGGGTATAATTGTGTACACTGGTGGTAAAAACAGAAGTTACCAGGAAGTTACTGGGTTCTCTGGTGATGTCGTTAGAAAAATGATGGAGCCCTATTTGGTAAGGGGCATTTTTATATACTGACAATGGTACACAAGCCCCATACTCGGTGAAATTTTTTGCGATGTGAACATGAGAGATGTGTGTGGCACAGTGCGTGGAAATTGTTAAAAAATATGCCTAGGCTCGATGCTGGCAGTCGTAGAGGTGAAGTGCAGGTGTTTGCTGCCAATGACATCATGGCATTTCGGTGGCATGACAAAGTGTTTTCACATGCTGACGTCAGTTCACCGACACGAAATGGTAGACACTGGCAAGCAGAAAAGAGAGACCAATGAACCCATTGTAAAAACCCGCAGCTGTGATGGATTACAACCTCAATATGCGCTTAGTGGACAAATGTGACATGCAGATTGGGTTTGCTGACTGTGTTCGCAAGAGTTATAAGTGGTACATAAAACTGTTTTTCCATCTTCTTGACATTCCATGCTGAATGCTTATAATATGTATAAGTTGAAGACAAGAAGAAACCCAAATATGGTGAATTTTGTTTGTCAGTCATCAGACAAATAATATTCAAGTACCAAGAAACAACACCTGCAATTTGACCAGCGCCCCCAAAAATTATCAACACTGTCCTCTCGTCTGGGCCTGGTTTTCACTACCCCATACCACTGCCCGCTACTTTCTGCCAAGAAAAATGCTCAGAAGAGGTGTTTTGTCTGTGGACATACCACAAACGCCCACAAAAATGCAGAGACACTCATTTTTGTGTGATGAGTGTAAGACACATGTGCTTATACCTGTTTCAAAAAA